GACCAGGGTTCGGCGACCACCCACAGATGCCACTGGCTGTGTTGGCAGTGGCCAGTGGGGATAATGGACCACCCACAGACGCTGCTGGCAGCATCAGCAGCAGGGTGGCAAGCGACGCCTTTTCATAGGGGGTGCACTGCCATGCTCAGGGGGTGCACATGCACCCACATCGCTCCTGTGGTGGAATGTATGAGACTTAACTGATTTGGGTCAAACTGGTTTATGCAGTGCCTGTCCCAGACTCCTTCCTGGTTCAAATTTCATAGTTTCATAGATGTTAGGGTCAGAAGGGACCTATTGGATCTTTGAGTCCAACCCACTGCCCTGGGCAGGAATGGGTGCTGGGGTCAGATGAGCACTTTATTGTTATTTACCTCCTTAGCATATGCACAGAGAATGAAGGGTTAAGTACCAAGGATGGCTATGTGCAGAAGGAGACCAGATGGACCATCAACAGTCTTGAATAGCTTTGTTGGGTATCTCGCCTTTGTTGATAGTAAACACTCAGGAAGCGTTGATATCTATACATGACCATGGGCAAAAAGGCTAGGGGTAAAGTAGCCTGTCAGCTCCTGGCCAGAGGAGTCTGTGGACTGAGACAACTGGAGGAGTTCTGAGAAGCTGGAAAGACTGGAAAAGAAAAAATTGAGTGTCTTTGGGGGATTCTCAGGGCTGTGCAGGCTAGAATGAGGCCAAACGTAGGCTGCCTTCAAGGGGCTTTCAGAGGCTGGACAAGATCACAGCAGTCCCAAGCAAGCAGCCACTGAAGTGCACTCTGTGACACCTTGCATTAACTGCGCTGCTTCAGCCAAGGAACCTTGTCTGCCTGCTTCTTTGTATGCTTGCAAAACAGTGTCATGCTGGCAGTATTTAATGTATATGTTAATTCTTTTATAGAAAGGTATTTTCATCTCAAAACTGTATCAGCATCTGTGATATAGCAAGCCCTGTGTGTCTGCACTTTCATTTCACAAGAAAAGGATGAAGCTGTTTGAACTAAGGAGCTTTAGCAGTAAATCAGAATTCAAAAGCTTGGCTTCCCTCGTGCAGAATACTACTGTAATTGGATTTTCCCCCCTCACAGATACTAGCTAGTTAAAGGCCACAGTAGCATGTTTTAAGGGATGTGTAACAGAACACAAATACACAGAGTGAGATTTAATGAAAAGTAGAAATTTATCTCTAAAAATGAGCTATAAGTGGAAATTATGCAGCAAGCAAAGCAACAGATATGCTTTGTGGCACTGATGTGGAAGTCTGATAATGTTACTTCCTTCAGATTATGATAGGATCTTTGGTTGGAAAGGCTTTTGTTCTTGATTTAAAATAGATTTCTTTGGTAAAGATATTGACTTTGTTGGCAGGTATTCCTAGGAGGAAGGAAATACAATCCATAAACTTTCATTTGCTGTAAAAGTTAATGTATCCACACAGCACTGAAACCATACTCTGCTGAGTTCAGCAGCCACAGTTTTCATTTGATTAGCTTGGCCCTCATTATGAAGTGTCTTTAGGATTTCCTCAGAGACATTCATCAAAGATATTAAGATTTTTTTTTTTAAAGAGCTTTGAATGAAAACTCATGGTAGATAAACCAAAGCCTGCTGAGGGGCAACATTCTTGTATACTATGATAAAAAGGAAGATCTCTCCTTTCCAAGCCCAAGTATTGTTTGCCCTTCAATTTGCACATAGCATTGCATAGTTTTGAAATAGTTTTACTTCACAGTTAGGGCTGCCAGTCTCTGGAATGGACTCCCAAGGGAGGTGGTACTCTTTCCTACCTTGGGGGTCTTCAAGAGGAGGCTGGACAGATATTTGGCTGGGGTGATATGATCCCGCCACCTGATTCTGCCTGGGGCAGGGGATTGGACCTGATGATCTGTTTAGGTCCCTTCCGACCCTAAGTGCTATGATACTATGACATTCCAGCTCTGTCTCGATTCCATATGCAAATACAGTATAAAGTATCTTCTTGAAATATCTTAAGTGACTGCTGTATGTTGCGTGGAGTATAATTAACTCCATTTTAGCCCAATATATATATTATTTTTAGGTTGAAAGGTCTGGATGGACATTCAAAAGGTTGGGGGCACAGATTATTATATTTAGTCACAGAGCTTTCCCAGACTCTTTTAAGTCATAATATGCCACAGCTTGACTTGGAGGAATTGCACTTAAAACCATGCCTCATTTCAGTTGAAACCACTAATGAAACTAGTTGCCAGCTAGTGCTAGTTGCCAAGATTAATGTTTTTTGTGATATGAACCCTTGAACGCTGGAAGCAGAGCAACTTCAGAACCACAGTAGGCATGTATTAAGTGGGAGAAAGATAAGCAACAATAAGAGAAAAATTGATTATGCTTCTAGATGCTCATCATGACTCCTCCCTTCCTCTTCAACTGTGATGCTGTGGCAACAGACCTCAGTTTTCAAGGTATGAAGACTGTAAGAAGAGTGCTCATTGCTGTAACCTCCCTCATATGTGACTGAGACTATGTTAAATGGAGTTAGTTGCAAAGAATACATGGCCAAAGAGGTTCTGCAGTGTTCAAGCCTGGAATCATAGAATTTGTCAGCTCCCTTTGATTTCAGTGCTTGTGGGGGGTGTTTCTTTTCTTTTTTTTAAGTCAAAATGTTAAGTGAATTTAGCGAAGGTACACAGGTGCATTAAGATAAGCACATGCTCAACTGTATTGTTGGATTGAAGCCAAAACATGTCGAATGGGACAGCCTATTCCATTGTACTTTTGCAGCAGCCAGGTGGCATTTTCTAATGTTTCAATGCGTTTTCTAGAGCTCCGCATTACATTAGCATGCCGTAAGAGAAAATGATTCAGCAAAGATGAGAGATACAGTCAGAACCACCATTTTGTCTCAGAGGATGCATCCAGAGGAGCACAGACATGCAATATGCAGTGCCACAGACCTGTCTGCAACACCGCACATGCAGGCATTCCCTGCACTGCTAATTTGGAGATCCTGGGGTCAAAAAACAGCACATAAAAAAAAGTGCAGTGGTTCATGTGGCAGTAGTGCACACTGCCCAAAACTGAAACCTAACTGGCCACACTCAGGCTGCCAGCCAGGCTCCTTGCTGCAGGATTGCCACGGCTGCAGCTCCCGAAGGCCCCCAGGACCCCAGGTAAGGCTGCTGGGGCCAGCACAGTTGTTGGCCCCAGCCTTCCCTACCCCACCCAGGTCAACATACTGTGTACCAGAGTGCATGTGGCACAGGCGTTTCCTGGAGACAAGTAACAGTGACACACATCATGCCACTGCTGTTTGTCCCCAAGGAAACACAGGTTCCCACTCATGGATAGGCCCCCAGACAGTATATCTACACTTCAGTCTGCTAGGCCTAGTAACCAATCTAGCTTGTTTATATCTAGCTCAGCTGTCTCTATGATGTGCTGCAGCCTTCAGTGTAAATATACCCCACATGTGGGAGGCTGGCATGCATAAACAGAAAAATTGGACACCAAACTCAGTGAGACACAATAATTATGGACCAAACTATGGCATTTGTGCAATCACTTTTCATCTAGAACTACACTTTGAAAATTCAAAAGCCCACATATTTTAACATCAACTATTCTTAGCTATGTCAAATTAGTTCTTGTGTCTTGGGTTCTTTGCTGATTGTTCTACACAGGGGTACACAATCTGACAGTCTCCTGCCCTGCACTAAATTACCCATTTTTCACATCACTTATTTGTTTGGCTTGTTTGGAAGCTTAATTCTGTATTCTGATGTGACAGACTCCAGCATAAACTGAGCAATCTGACAGATTTCATTGGCTGCATCCCCACATTCAGGGGTCTGCGCTTACTGTGGCACAAAAAGTAGCGGCACCAATTTGTGCCGCTACTATTTGCCACTGTGCACACCCCGCAGTGCAGGGAAAAATGCCCCACTTTGGACAAAGGTGTTGTGGTTTCTGGGAATCAATAATAAAAAAAACTCTGTGCACTGGTCACTGATTCTAAATGAGTTCTACACTGGCAAAGACAAGAAAAAAGTCATCTTGATAGTTTGGTGAATACTGTTAAACTAATCCCCTTTCAGCATCAGAAATGGGCACCTCTATTGTCTTGCCCTCTCAATTTTAGTCTAGGGTACGTCTCAGACCTCATAAGAAGGAAGTGTCTTGATTTCCATTTAATGAAGTTAAATAATTGCTCTGTGGAACATCCTTCTCTCTTAGGCACTACAGGCTAGTAATGATTGGTAAATGTGTGGTGTATTTAGTTAGCAGAAGCTGCAATTTCAGACTAATTAGCCAAAGAACGAAGTAAAGTTTTAAGTGTTAATCAAGGGAAGGAAAAGTATTCTCTCTATCTGGATTAATTTACTTTAGTTAGCACAAAGCAATTAAGAAGTTTGGCTTATATTTCAGACAGCTCATATTAGTTGAACCTAATTGGCAACTGATTGATTTATGTTGTCCTAGATTTGCAGTAGTTTTGCTTAAAGTATCTGAAAACTACTAATGATACTTTGAATATTTTCAGCCTTTCCACACAAATTTGGTCTTCCATGTTCATACCAAATTCCATTTGCTCCAGAGTTGACTACCTTCTTTTGTTATTGTATGCCTTTGGAGACTTGTGTTCTTTAACTTAAGGGAAGAAATAATAGAATTATAGAATCATAGAAAGTTAGGGTTGGAAGAGACCTCTGGAGATCACTTAGTCCAACCCCCTGCTCAAAGCAGGAACATCCCCAACTATATCATTCCAGCCAGGGCTTTGTCGAGATGGGTGTTAAAAACCTCCAAGAATGGATCTTTATGCAAAACGTTTTTCAAAAGCACCTCAGGAATTTTGGAGCCTATGTTGCACTATTTTTCAGTGGAAATTATTGTTCTTAATTGTTTAAATGTCTTTGAAATGCTGCCTTAAATGTGTTATGAATATTGTGTAAAAAGATAGCATCTATATGTATACATTAAATTGTTAGTCCTTGTACTAAATAATTACCACGTTTATTATTCTAGGACTCTGAGTTTGACCCACTGAAGTTCACCAGTGTCATTGAATGTGAGAAGCCAAACAATGACTTAACTAGGTTTCGAGGTTACATGTGAGTATTTTATATATCCTACGCTGTACAGTCCCTCTTCTTTATGTCACAGGATTGAACTAAATGCCTGGATTTTCAATTCATCAAGAGTGGCCATTAAAATTATTCTATTTAGTATGTTATGTCTATTTTTTATCCGGATATTCCTCCCTGTTTGGGGGCAGGCATTCACAACTTTTTTGGAGAACTCTTCATTCAGACAGTTAAGAGCCACCCACTTTCATCCCTTCAGATGAATTGAGTTGTCAGCATTAATCAGCTTGTACCAGTGAAATATGCATGAAGCAGTTCAGTAATGGATAAAAGATACATTTTTTGCCTCCACACATCAAAAAAACCCATCTGGAAATAGGAGGAAATAGAGAACTGTTCCAAAAAATAAAACACAACAAAAAATCAGTGACATATTATTTTGTTATTGTCTTTTTTTTCTTTTAAAATGAATGTCCCTGGAGAAAATTAGATGTAGAAATCAGTATTTCTCCATACATGTCAATGTCTTTTTTCCTGTCTTTCAAACAGAGGGATAACATTGGCCAAGGTTTAGGGATGCTAAGCTAGGAAATATTCTCTTAATACAACTTTTAATTCTGTAGTCTTTAACCACATACAAAATGATAGATCACAGTAACTAAATCTTTAAGAACAGTTAAACAGAAAATAATTCTGCTTAGAGGGTGGTGATTTATTACTCTCTAACTTATTAGAAGCGATGAGCACTGTTAATAAGATAAATGAATTGTGCAAAAATTGAAAATTGGATTTTTAAATTATATTATTTTCCCATCTTAAAAACTGTTAATTCATCATGGGTGTTTCAAAATCCATTCATCTACATTAAATTCAGAAAGTATCAGTTCAGGACCGGCAGGCATACATATATTATTTGCAAATATTATAAATAAGTTGGGAGAGGCAAGGATTTCTTAGGGTGACATCTTTTATTGGACCAACTATAGTGCATAGTTGATCTGTAGTTAAATATTCATAACATATTTAACTACATGTAGTTGGGATATAGTTTGACAAGCTTTCAAGTTCAAGACATTTTTCATCCAGAAGAAGAGCCCACTTTGTAGTCTGGCATTTCATTTGGTTGTAAGTAGTGGATTTCTATATCATCCACATTGCAGTAGTGTAAAAGTGATGTTGTAGCCATGATGGTCCAGAAATTGTGAAAGGCAGTGGGGGGCAGACAGCAGCACTGGCCCTGGCCCTAACCCTGGGTTAGAGCCAGAACTGAAGCTGCAGCAACTGCCAGCTCCCCCAGTGCCTTCATCAAATCCAAGATGAGGAGTGTTAAATGGGTTGTTTAAATTTTAAAGCAAAAGAATGATAGAACCTTTATGAAGGACCCATCCTAAGCAGGAACTACATGCTTGTTTTTATAAATAACTCAGGCAGCAGAAATTAACTTTATTTTTTGAAGATCCTGACATGAAAAAAAAGCCTAATGTATCAAGGAAAGGACCTTCCTTTCTTTTTCTTAGGCTCCTTTAATGACTGAAGAACTCATGGATGCTTTTCATGTCACATTTTATTAAAACAAATAGTAAATGCAGCAGGGCACTGGGCTGCACCTGCTCTCTTAAGGGAGCAAGAGCTGGAAACAGCATGCAGGTGGCAAAGGGGAGTTACTTAGGGACTTACCTGACAAGCAGCAGACCGGGCTGGAGCTATGTAAGCCCTGGGCCTGAGCCGGTCAGGCAATCTAGCCTTTGGAGCCATGAAGTGAGGAGCTCCTAGCAGTAGGGCAGTAGAGCTCCTGAATTCTGAAAGAAAGCAACTCTGCAATGCAGGTAACAAGGGAAGGTACCTGGGGCAGAAAGGGACTTGTTTATATGGGTAGGTGGCCCTGGTTTAAGTTAAGCTCAGAGAAGGCTTGAGTGCCTGCCCAAGGGTGCAGGTGCTGTTCTTAAGTTGTACCAGCAGTTTTGCCTCGGACCCTGCTGCAGGCATGCTCAGGGCCTACTTAGAGAACTAGTAGCCGAAGAGGGGGCTGAGAGTGGGGCCTAGCAGTGAGTGCAGGAGCCCAGAGGTGGGGATCAGAAGATCTACAACCCAGAACAGAGCTGAGAGAGACTGGGACTAAAGAAGAACCAAAGCCAGAGAGTAATGAAGACTCGGACTATGGGGTCCACCAGCCCAGGGAGGGGCTGAGAGTCAGGTTAGAGGGTACACGATTCTGGGAGGCGCTGCAAGCAGGACCAGAGGGTCGACAGGACCAGAGTAGTGAGAAGTGAACTAGAGTGTCCATGAGCCCAGAGACAGTGGCTAACTGGGAACGGCATCTGAGAACCTGGGGAATGGCTACATGTGGGACTAAGGGGTCCAAGAGCCCCAAGAAGGGACAGTGTGTGAAACCCAAGAGTCTGAGAGTACAGAGAGGGGATGAGCATGAGCCCAGGAAGTCCAAGAGCCCAGGGAAAGGCTGAGTGTGGGACCAGGGCCTGAGAGCACAGAAAGGACTGGGAGGTGACCACAGGATCCTGGGGCTCAGAGAGAGGCTATGCAGGGTGACCAAAGGGTCTGAAAGTCTAGAGGGAGGGCTGAGAGTGTTCAGAAACCCCAGGGAGGTCTGAGTAGAACGAATACCAGTGACATCATTAAACAGTAACATCTGCAAGGCTTGGGGTGTGAGGTAGGAACAGAATGGAGCCATAAAATTAGCCCCTAAGGCTACAGGTGCCTGTAAGGAGTATGTTGTTTTTTATCAGCAGCCAAAGCCATATAGTCGAATCGTGCTACTTCCCAGGTAATAGTAGTGTCTCTTGTGTATTTAAAACAGAGGCTTTCAGTGGGCTTTCAAAAGAGCTGCATGTCGAGTTATATGAAAGTGCTGATGTTTTGCTGTCAAAGTTTGCTTAACATTTTCAGCATCTAAAAAAAGTATGCCCTAGAAATGGTTATTTTTCAGTGTGAAGTATAAAAATGATATAAAACAAGGCCTTTGGTTCCAGATTCTGTGCTTGCAAGCTTTTTAGCAGGGTTAGATTAGCAGCTTTTTTCATTTGTACACAGTAGACATGTATTCAGTGGGAGAAAATGGGAAAAGTATGAGAACTATTGATTATGCTCCTAGATGTTCGTGCCAACTCTTCCTTTCCTCTTCAAGTTCTTTTCTTCCCACAACCTGACCCAAGTCAATGCTCATCTGCATGTAACAGGTAGCATGTTGGGAGCTAAAATGTCTCTCCCGTGCAACTCTCCTCAACAGCAAGTGAGAAATTCCAATAAACTCTATGTGGTCTATTCTGCCGGTAAACAGTAGGACCGAGAGATAAACATAGCAGAATATGGGCTTAGCACTCAGGACACAAAGTTCATCATCATTTAGAAAGATGCACCCCTTGCAAAACGATCAAAAATTCAGGCAGACTTTAACAACAAAAATGCCTAGTTCTTCTATAGCGTCAGTTTCAAAGCACTTTATCAGGGAGTTCAGCATCATCCACCTTTACGAATAAGGAAACAGAGTTACAGAGAAGAGAAATGATTTGCCAGGTCCACTCCATAGGCCAGTGCGGGACCCTGGGAATATACAGAGCCCAAGTTTCTTGTGTCCGCCATTTTGTCCACTAGGCCATACTGTCTACTCTATTGTTAAACAGTAACAGTTCCATGCAGAGCCATGTATTCATCAATAGCAAGCAACCTGACTTGCTCCCCATCAGAACTGCAGATGGCAGAGCAGCGTAACAGTAGGTTAACAAACAAAAATACTGCAAAATTCTGGATTTACTTGAATTTAAAGCAGCTGCCCAATAATAAGATTCTACACATGGAAATGTATAAATTTGTTAAAATGTCCTTGTATAGAACGTAATTATCGGGGATTCATCTTAAATTCATCCCCTCCCACCGCTGCAGGGAGGCAGGCAGTGTGGGAAGGTGGTAGGCGGAGGTCAAGAAGCTTGCTGTCTGCTTGCATCTGCCGCCCTGTCACCTTTGCCCTCTGCCCTCCGCCTCCTTTCCCCTTCCATTTCTGGTCCTCCTCGTGCCCCTCCTCCAAGTCTCTGTTTCCCACTTTCCTCCTTCTCTCCCAGCATCTGCTTTCCCCTCCCCCCAGCCTCTGCTTCCCTCCCACCTTTGCTCCATGTCAGCAGGCTCTGCCCCTGTTCTAGCCTGGGGCACAGAATACAGCCCCAGCCCAGCCCAACCCCCATAGCAGCCATGCAGGCTGCACATCTCTGCTACAGACCAGACTGGGGTGCTCAGTGCTCCAGGCTGCAGCATACATGGAAACTGCCAGTGTGGAACAAGGGTGAAGAGGGGAGGGAGAAGGGTAGGTGGAGGAGCAGAGGCTGCTTGGTGACAGAGAGCTACAGCACCAACCCCTCCCTCATACTGTATTCTAAGATGAGGGGCTTTTTTTCCATGTCTTAGTTGGGGGGAACCTCATCTTAGAATCAGGAGAATACAGTGCATTGGAGCAGACCAGGCCCCCAGCTTCCTTATTGTTGCAAATGTGTAGTCAAAGCATTACTGAATCAATCTCTTCCTTCACACAGTCATAATAAGGTGCATTGAGCATGTTCAATAGATGCTGTGAAGCAGGGGAATTGCCTATTAACATAGGGACTTGATCAAACACTGGCCGCAATTTCTACTCACTTATGGATCCCAGGCTCATTTTCTCATTTTTCCCCCCTTTAAATATTTCTTTCCCTGCTTCCAGCACCCTGAAAAAAATAAAATGAAAAATAACATGCATATCCAGCATGAGTGTAGTCAAACTATATGTGGGACATACGGCAAGCACTCAAAACCCATGACTCAGGTCCCAAAAAGAATGATATTGGCTTAAAAAATATTTCTGGGGGAGGGAGAGTTATTTGCCTTCTGGTTTTCCAGCTGTTCTCTGGAATTGTGAAGGCTATAAATTTTATTTTTATTTAAAATAAAAGCTGAAATCCTCAGTTAATCTCATGATAGGCTGACTGTATTTCCCACGTCTCAAAATGGGACACTGCTCCCTTCACCTTCTCCAGCATGCTCAACTGTCTCTGAGCTCCAGTCTCAGCTGAGCATGCCAGGAAGTCAGAGGATGCAGAGCACTGGAGACCAGAAGGGAGAACATAGTACTGGAGAGTGGGGGCAGGAGGAAACAGTCCTGTTTTTACTGGGTCAGTCCATTTTTTTACAGCCCCGTCCTGGGGATTCAACTGAAAATGAGATGAAGGTTTTCATTTGACCAAACCAACAGGATGCCTGGTACAAGCATTTAAATTGGGGCTGTCCCAGCAAAAAAGGGATGAATGGTCAGCCTATCAGATGACAGCCAGGATCCTTTGGTGAAAAACAGCAAAGTAAATCAAAGGTTGTTGTGGGTGAATCATATGGACATATAGGTGAAGGCCTTGCCATAAACTTACATAATAAAAGTTACCTGTAAAACGATGGTACAAATCAATCTTGCCATTGTAAAACAAAAAACCAAAAACAAACAAACAAACAAACAGTGTGCATAAGTAGTGATCAGGGATGGTCCAAAAATTAGATGTCCATCTCCATAAAAATGTTGATGCTCTCCAACCCACTGCCTTGATGTAATTTGTCTCTCCTAACAAGCCCTTTCTCCTGCTTGTTTCTCCTCTTTCACACTACTGCTGTGGTCTCCAGCCAGCTGGGCGCTCTGAGGAGCAGCATTGCACATCTCCTAGCTGGAGTCTGACTGAGCCATAGCAAGCACAGGGGAGCTCCAGAGGTGGTCCTGTCCCTTGCTGATCTGTTCCGTTCACCAGAGAGCAGCTGTGCAGGGAGTTGAGCTCTGCACCATGTGGACTCTTTGTTCAGGCTTGTTCCTGGCCATCAGGAGAGACGGGGGAAGAGGCGGTAGAGGGACCAGGCAGGAAAGGAGGAAAGGGGAAGAGGAAACTGGGGAAGCGAGTATGGGAAGCAGACAGGAAAGGAGGAATCTGCCAGCCACAGGCTCCCTGAAGCATGGGACAAGAACAGCTCTGGAGCTCCCCCTGCACCTGGATCATCAAAGAAAGCAGTGGAAGGGGGGTTGGGTGTGGAAGCAACGGGTAAGGAAATGGTGGGGGAGGCAGGCATTAGGGGGGCAAGAGGAGGGGGCAGGCTGCCTGCCCCTTCCCATCTCTGCTTTCCCTCCCTGCTTTCTATTCTGCCTGTCTCCATGCCTCTGCTTTCTCCCTGCCTGCCCCCTGACTCTGCTTTCCCCAATGCTTGTCCCCCATCCCAACCCTGCTTTTTTGCTTCAGCAGCAGGGGGGACAAATTTAAAATGACTCTCCAATAAGTAAATTCTGATCCAGGAAAACTATAACAAATTTGTAATGTTGTTATAAGTTTGTTGTCCAGGAGGGGAAGGCTAGTCTTAAATTCAGAGTTGTCTTTGATTTGGGTAAATATGGCATGGGGCGGGGGGGTCTTCTTAAATTCATCTCCCTATAGCTATGGCAGGGAAAGCAGCAACAGGGGAAAAAGGGGCCAAATCCCTGCCCCATATGCCCCCCTGCCCTTTGCCCTTCATGCCCCCTGACTCCCTGCTACCTGTCCTCCCTGTCCCTTACTCTCCTGTTTGTCCCATGTCTCTGCCTGCCCACCTACCACTCCCCATTCCTTGTCCCTCCCCTTCCCCTTCCTTTCATGGTAGCTCCAGCCCAATCCTGGCCAGTCAGAAACATCAGCAGCAGCTCTGGGCCTGGCCAGGGCTGGAGCTGGAGCTAGAGTCAGAGCATAAGGTAAGCTGGGGGTGAGGACATGCAACAGGGTCTCCCCCACACTCCTGCCACTCTCACCATGGATCTGCCTTGTGTACCCATACCCCCACTGTGGATCTCCCTCGTGTGCTCCCCCCATGCCCCGCACAATCTCCCCCATGCTTCCCCAGCTGCACATCCCCCTTCCCCACCCCAGCCCAGGATGGGTGGTGGCTCAACTCCAGCTTCAGCCCTAAGCCCAAAGCCAAAGCTGAAGCTGAGCCGCTGCCTGCCCTGAGGCAGTACTTAAATCTAAGATGAGTCTTTTTTTTCCCCTATGTTTGTTGCAGGGGAAAAAACTTGTTTTGGATTCCAGTAAATATGGTAATCGCTAGGGAAACCTCCAAGCAAAAGCCAGTGGAAAAGTAAGAAAAACTCTGATTTTTCCCACGTTTTTCCTTTTGACTGACATATGCTATGTGGACATTCCCTCTGATAAACAAGTCAAATTGGCTTTTGCTGTCCTCCAAACCACAAGGATTAGGCTCAGCCAGACAGGGAACCTGAAGCCATACCAAATGACTTCACTCATTTGCCTTCCACCTTGTAATCCATTCCAGTTCAAAATGAGGAGTGCTCTATGAAAAGCTATTTAGAATATGAATATATCCCAAGACCTCAAATGCCTTCCTACCCAGCTTATAAAACTTAGTTTTCATGCCAACTATGTTGTTGAAAGAATGCTACATATGAAAGATCTTCATCAAGTTTGGAAACAGGCAATTTAAGGGAGGTTTTATTTCACATGGAATGCTTTACATAACTGTACCAGCAGGAGTTCCAGGAAGGCAGATATTTTTCAAGATTGCTGGGTAATTGCTTAGGGATCTTCAGCTTTTCACAAAATGATAATCCCCCAGTTTACTTTGTTTAGGATGCCTGGGAAACTAGAGGCTGGACAGGAGGTGCAGTGTTTTTAGTTGCGTCACTCTGTTAAATTCAGTACAGGCAAATGGCTCCCAAACAAAAAGTGGTAGATGGCTGAAACAAGCTACCATCAGATATTTCATCTTATTCTGTTCAATAAGGTTGTCTGTTGAAATATTAACTAAATGCACTGACCATAACCATGTCTCATGATAAGTGTGTAGGCAAAGGGGGAGTTAGTAGTTTCTGTACCATACATTATAGGTTGCTGCCTATGCAAGAAATTAGACCAATAGGTACACTTCATTTAGCTCTCAAATCCACTTTCCGGAGGACTAACTCTAACATTCTAAACTCCTGAGCAGCTTCAAAAAGTCACTATTTTAAAAATATTGCCAGAGAAAAATTTCCTCCTTTGCTTCCAAAATTTTACTGGCCAGGATCCTGGAAGAGGAAAATTTCAGTGCTGAACATGTAACAAATTTAAGATTCAGTATCTCTCAACCCAGCAAGAAATGGGAGCTAAGCCATCTCCTCAGTGGGGGACACAACATTAGCTTAAAGCTTTGAAAAGTCAGTTATCAGACCTGTATAATTTATATGGCTCTTATGTTGAATTTGTTCCATTCAGAATCTCAAGTTTGTAATATCTCTTTCCTTAAATGTGAGTGTCCATCTGGAGTAGCATTTCTGTATCAACTCAGTGAACTGATTACTTGTGGAAGAGCTGCAGGGAAGAAGTTTAAGGAAAAGTTAGTTGCTCCTTTTTGCTATAGTTTGGTTCCCTGCATTTCAGTTTTCAAAGGTCTGTGGATCATAGGTGATTTAAGCAGCTTGATTTTATCATGTAAAAATGGAAATTAATAGAACATGCTCTTGTAGGTAAATTGGGAACAAGTTGCTACCCTGGTCTTCAACTTTTGGCCCTTAAACTTTAGTGGGAGGGCCCAATCCATGCAAGAGCATAAGATATTTAGATCTCAAACATAAACTGCTCAATTTGAAATGTTGCACTGTTGTTGTAGAATAGACATGGAACGGGTGGTGTTTTGAATATTTACCATTTGGTGTTGCATTTGAGCTAAATGAATAAAACCAATTAAGCCTTAAGTGAACAAGACTTACTGAGTGCAATGGAAATATCTATTAACCAGACAAAATACCTTTGTGTACCTCTAACAAGTTTTAAATGTACATATACATTTTTAGCATACTGTGTCTATATACATCATTGCCCACTGTCATTAACTATTAACTATAAAGAACTGGTATGGGCTATAAAATCAGAAGCCAGAGCTATTACTTCTCCTGTACATTTGTAAAAACAATTGCATTTATTAAGAGGGACACACTTTGAAGACTTTACTGGAAACTCAAGCCAACATCCTAGTACTTCACAAGACAAGCTCTTGGAGAATTGATCTTAAAAAGCAGAGAAAGTCATAATACCAAGAACAGGATGATTGCTGAAGTTACTGTGTGAATAATTTAACAAATCATTCCTTTAAAATGGTATATATGACAATACCTCCCAAATATTTGTGGCTCCCAAGTTCATTGCTTATTGATTTTCGGGGCAGTGACTCTTGGCTATGTATTTGAGAAGTCCATGATCAAATGCCAAGACAGTGATAGAAGACAAATGCTGAAAGAGACAAAAACAGAACTTCACCAAACATGACACTACATTCTGCTGTTTCAGAAGTCCAGCTAGGAGTTCTCCTCTAAAGGGGAAAAAACTCTTCATTATCCTTCCAACTCATTACCTTGGGGGATCTCACCTCCTCATTTTCCTTGGCTTTTTGTTTCTAGTCTCTGGTCAGATATTATGGGTGCTGCATCTATAACATTCCTAAAAACCTCACCCTCACTCGCCTCAGCAGTCCTGCTGCAAAAAGCAAGGCACATAACATGATCCTTTCTCTCAATGTTCATTTAAATTTAGACTGTAAGCATTTAGAGGTGGGGACAATAACTTTTATTTCTGTGTTATGCATTATGCCCACTGAAGGCACCGACTGAGGACCATATAGGATGACCCATTATTTACTCCACAACTAGACTTACTAGGTATATCTATTCTTTGTCTTTGTCAGGCTCTCAAGCGCCCTCTACCACACGCTGTGCCTACCCACTCCCATGTTCATTCCAAACCCTCAAATGCAGTGGTGAACCTACGTTGTGGTTGTCTCAGCAGCTGCTTTGTAGTACACTGGAAATCAAGATCTCTTGAGTGGCCCCATGAGCGAACTCCTGGACCCTTTGCTATCACATTTCCAGGTCTGATACATGGGAGTGCAAGTAGAAGGCTAAGGAATGCTGAGAGGAATCCCTTCCAGGACATGCTAAGGGCACAATGCAGACATATCCATTGATGCCATGCAGTAAAGAACATAAGCCGTGTGTAGACGAACCGAGAGGCATGTGTGCACAAGACTTTAAAGCAAGCTAAATGCTCTTGCACCACTTTAACGGTGTCAGTGTTTGCATGCTTCATCAGTGTATTGCGCATTAATTCCAGCCGCTGTAGGAAATTTGGTGGTATAACGCACCTTAAATTACTTGAGGCACAGCAAACTAAAACTCCTTCGAGGAGTTTTAGTTTGCTGCCCCTACAGCCATGGAGCGAAGCACTGCGCTCTGTGCAGCTCCACGGCTCTGCAGGAAGCCCTGCAGCCAGCCTGGCAGCAGCCCGAGAAAGCAGGCTCCGCCCAAGAAAGCAGCGAGCCTGATTTCCACCTCCCCCTGCCCCCGAGCCTGCCTGAGCTGCATGGGGGCCCAGTGCTTCCCTCCGTGGCTGTGGTACCCCCTGGGACCACTCGAGCCAGGTGCCTGTGGGCGGGTGCCACCGGGGGCAGGGGGGGGGGGGGTGCCACTGTGGCAGGGGAAAACATCAGCCCCCACCGCAGCCCAGGGACCACTCTGCCCACCAGCAGTTTGCCATTCCCTCCCCACCGGGGAGGCAGCTAAGTCAGCAGGTTGTGCACATGATACGGAGGTTTAATCAGCCCTAAATTGAAGCACTGTTTTTTAAAAACCACTGCTTCAGTTTAGGGCCCCTGTTTTGTCTACACATGCTCATAGTCTTGAACAGACATTCAGTTTCTCCTGGGAGTATCACTGCTTTGCCAGGAGAAACCATGAGTATACAGATGTTCAGACTTTTTCTACCAGAATAAAAATGACCACTCCAAGAGAAAAATAACCTTGGAACAATGAGGGTTAAATCACTCCCAAGAGTTTTTCTTGGAACAGCGAATGTCTGTACATGCCATGGCTTCTCTTAGAAGAGAACATAGTCCTCTAGCTTCTCCCCTTCCCCACAAGGAGTCAGTGTGTGGCTTGCTGAACTGTGCTTCTCCAGAACAGTCCCCCTTCACAGTCTTCACATTATGTTGCAGAAAAATGCAGGCTGACCATGGGCAGCCTGGGGTAGTCAATCAGGGTTGCTTATGTACTGCTGTGATCTGTCACCAGGCAGACTAAGGAAGCCCCTTTTCCCTCCTCCCTCTCTGGCTGCAGTGTCAGCACTGCAAGCTTTTCACTCTTCAGGTCCTTAGGATTCAAATGTCTGCACACATGACTCTGGGTTAGTAACTGTATCCAGAGAGCAAACCTGGGAGAATTTTCCCAGATTATTTGAATATGTTTGTGCAGCCCATGTTGTCACCTCTTGCAGTTTGTTGCTTGTTGTATGATATTTGCCATGTTTCTTAAAACAGTGGATCATAGATTCATAGATTGTAGAGTTGGAAGGGACCACAATGGATCATTGTGTCCGACCCCCTGCCCCTGGCGGGAAAGAGGACCGTGGTCAGATAACCCCAGCCAGGTGATTGTCAAGCCTCCTCTTGAAGACCTCCAAGTTAGGTGATAGTACTACCTCTCTTGGAAGCCCATTCCAGATTCTAGCCACCCTTACTGTAAAAAATGTCTTCTAATGTCTAACCTAAATCTACTCTCAACTAGTTAGCACCTGTTATTCCTAGTTACTCCCTGGGGTGCTCTGGTAAATAGTTTATCACCAATTCCCTGTTGTCCTCCCTTGATAAACTTATAGGCAGCTACAAGCTCTCCCCTCAGCCGTCTCTTGTGAAGGCTGAAGAGATCCAGATCTCTCAACCTCCCCTCATAGGGTCTTTCACTGAGGCCACTGATCATGACAGTGGCCCTCCTCTGAACCCTCTCCAGATTCTCCGTGTCCCTCTTGAAGTGCAAGGTGTGCTAAGAGTGAGCTTCCATTATTAAAAAAAAAGTTTCTAACTTTCAGGATTTGAAGAGAAAAGCATGAAATCTTTAGCTGAATGGACTTGGAAGTAAAGTCCATTCAGAAAGTAGAGTCAGAAAACCAAAGACAAGTTAAAAAAAAAACAAAAAAACAAAAAAAAACTCTTTTCAAAAGCTCATACCCGTAAGCCAGTTTCATAATTTTGGGTGACTGACTTGTGATTTTAATACGCAAGTCAGCAATACTAAGTATCAGATGACAGCATATGTATGGATGGCAAAATCTCCTATATAAAATAAAGAGATAAAAATTGAAATTGCAGCAACAGCAGCTAGATAGTTATGTATTCGTATTATTATACTGTATTCAATTTCTCAACATTTCTCTTACAACTATCAGAATTTATCTGTCTGCGTTGTATTCCAGTTGGCTTTAAAAACATAATTCCTGTTTTTGAGGTCTGTTAACTGCATAAACAATAATATATTTCATGTTTTCCCTTACTGTCTTCTCTGTGAGATTAAGATACCAGAGTCCATTATGTGGAATTTCATTCATGTATGGCAGGTCTAAAAATGCTATTTGACTTTTCCAACCCACTGTTTTGACTTCCCCTGAAAAATGTTCCAGTGCTACTGATGTAAGGAGAGAAGTGGGTAGCCATGTTATTTGAAGTCAGGCAGAAGATAGAGTAGGGTGGCATCTTAGTCTCTTAACCAGTCAGTTTCTATTGTGACAGTCTGACTAATGTAAGAAGTTAATTTTTTTGTTCTTAATATTGTCCTTGTGGCAGTCCATTCCCACAAGCGATAGTTTCCTACGTTCCTCTGACATAATTGAAATTTTAGTCAATAGATAAATAAGAGACAATGAATATTTATATTGAAAAGTTATTATTTTGTTTACTAAATTGGTCTCATCTATTCTGATGTCCTGTTTTTTCTCATAATATATGTGGAAGCCTTGTCAGGAGTTGGTTTAGAGAGTCTTTATCATTCATTGATAGAGCCAGGAAACCAAATGTTTGTTTTGCCCTTCTAGTTGTGGCTTCAGAAAAAAACAAAGCTTGAATACAGTAAAATTTAGGGGTGCCTGTAGGCATGAGGGGATGATAGTCTGACGCGCTGTAATTACAGCATGTCAGAGCTAGAGGTGCACCAATACACTGGTCCGATATCGGATCAGCACTGATATAAAGAAAATTGACTGTATGGGAAATTGGCCTGATGTGGCTGATAATTTGGCTGATAAATGCCTGTGCATGTACACCGCTACAGTGCAGCATGCAGGCAGCAAGGAGCAGAGCCTGGCAGCTTGGAGAGCTGTGTACAGCTGGTAAGTCTGTTGTGGTGGACAGGTGGTGGGGGGGAGGGAAGGGGCATGGTGGGGCAGATCAATTCCCCCTGCAGTGACTGAGGGAGTGGGGCTGGGGTATGTGCTGCCCAGTCGGTTAAAATAGTATCATTCCCTATCATTCCTTAAAATTGCATCATTCCATATCATCCTGTGGAGCTGCAGCTTGTCCAAGGGGCATGGGAATGGGGAGCAGCTCCCACCACTGTGTGCATCTTGGGAGGGAACGGAGTGGGGGCATGTGCCCCTGGATCTGTGCGGGGTGGGGTGGACTGCAGCTATGGGCTGGGGCCAGGGGCCGCACCAGGCTCTTCCTGACGTGAGGAGGGGGAAGGCTGGACCGCGTTGTGTTCGGGGTGGGTAGCAGTGGTGCTGGGAGGGGGGCAGCGGGCAGGGGTGCTGTAGCCACCCCAAATTTTGCCGTAGCCCCCCATAACCCCCTCCCAGCGCCACTGCCACCTGAACCAAGCGCAGCGGCAGGAGCTGTGCCCCCCGCACCTGCCCCAGTCCCACTCCCTCCCTCACCATGGGGGGCGTTTATCTGCTCCCCCATGCCCCTTCCCTCCTCCCCCTCCCCTTCTACCACAATAGACTTACCAGCTGCGCAGAGCTGTGTCAAAAATTGGATTGGTATTGATCGATATGCCTCTTTAAAAATTGGCTATTGGTATCAGCCCCCAAATCTCTATCAGTGCACCTTTAGTCAGAGCAGACTCGATTAATTGAGTCTGCTGGAGCATGCTAATTAATGCACTCCAGCAGCCTCTACATCTCATGTATTCAGCATCCCTGTGCTTCAAAATGGCAGTGGCGGCACTATAACTAAGGTTTGTCAAGTAAGCTTTAATTAAAGTGTCCCTGCTGCCACTTTGAAACATGGGACGCTTAATACACAAGACACTGTGGGCACTTTAATTAGAGTGCCCTCTCCTCCCTTCCCCCTCCCCCTCCAAGCATTTGTAAACATGCCCTAGATTGTTTGTTCTGGAGAGTGGAAGGAGAACAGCAAGGAGGAGGAGCACAATGTTTCCAGAGACAGAATAGGGCCAAAAGAGCCAAGAAAAATAGGAATAAGTTTATCTATTAGGTTTATCTAATCTGTACGTGTGCACAAATATAGATTGGGGAATCACTGACTAGGCCACAGGACAGCAGAGAAGGACCTGCGGGTTACAGTATGGCCATGAGGCCCCATCTATACATTATACGTAAGGCATAATTAACCAGTTAACCAATTAAACTGGGCCACACTTTCAATCAGTTAATGGCATGATTAAAAAAAGGAATAGAATAAGGTACCCAAAGTTGCTCCACAAAAGATGTATAATAATTTTTTAGCTGCTTCCTATCATGCCATTAATTGAACGTGTGGCCAGGGGTCCCTGTGGCTGAGAGCCCCATCAGCTGATTGGAGCTCCCAGTTAAGGGTCCCCATGTGCACCCCCAAACCTTGGAGCTCCCAGCTGACAGGGCTGTCAGTTTGCAGAAGGTGTGTCCCATGCACCCACATGGCTGGGAGACTGCAGCTGCTGTGATCACACAGTTGTGGGGTGCCCTACACACCCCCGCAGCTGGAAGATTGCAGCAGCTACAAAGTCACTTATTGTCACTCAAATAGTCACCCTTTCCCCTTCACTGCCAACGAAACAAGGAAATTGTAGCAACTTCAGTCTCCCTGCTGCGGGGACCCCTAGGGTACCTCTGCAGCTGTGAGCCAAGGTAAGCTGATGGGGCGTCCAGCTGCAGGAGTGCATGGTGCGCCCCCATGGCTGGGAGCCCCATTAGTTGACCCAGCCTCCCAGCCAAGGGAACTTCTTTCTGGCGACAAGGCATGATGAGATCTAATGCACAATCCACGCAGTCACACCTCCTGCCATGCACATGTAGCGTGGCAGGAGGTGCCATCATGTGGATTGCTAATTAGATCCTATTATGCCTTTACCTGCATGTGTAGAGAGGCCCTAAGGTGAATACAAGCTAACAGTGCTCTTGATACAAAAAGGGCCAACACTATACTGAATTATGTTAACAGAAGTGTCACTTGCAAATGGAGGGAAGTGATTCTTCCTCTCTCTCAGCACTGGTAAGGCCTCACCTGGAGTAGTGTGTCCCGTTTTGGGCTACACACTTCAAGAAGGGTACGGACAGAATGGAAAGTGTCCAGCAGAGAGCCACAAATTTTTTGAGGCCTGGGGGCATGATTTATGAATAAAGGCTGAAGACATAGGGTTATTTAGTCTGGAGAGGAGGAGACTGAGGTGGGGTTTGGTAACAGTCTTCAAATACCTGAAGGTTAATCATAGAGAGAATAGAGATCGGCTTTTCTCTGTGGCCATAGGAGACAAAACTAGGAGCAATGGCCTCAAACTACAGTAGAGGAAATTTGGGTTGAGATTAGGAGGAACTTTCTTCTGTGAGGGCAGTCAAGCATTGGAACAGGCTACCTGGAGACGTGGAATCTCCATCCCTGCAAATTTCAAGAGCAGGTTGAACAGGCACTTGGCCGGGGGGATCCTACCTTGACCAGGGGACCAGACTAGATGACCTTTTGAGGTCCCTTCTAGCCCTACTTCCCTATGATCCTATTTTAACTACTCTTCACTTGATCTGTAGCTACTTCTCATAACATCTCTTTGCTCCATAGGTTTACAGCCCTCTTTGCCTTTTCTTAGTGACTGTTTTCATTTACATCATGAAATTAAAAATTGCTTTACTTGGTACTTATCTTAGGCTGTATCTGCTTTTTCCCAGACCTGAGGATGTCTAATCTAAACCTACTCGCCACAAGTTGTTGGAGAGTAGGTTTAGATTAGACATCCGTAAGAACTACTTCACAGTCAGGGCAACTAGGATCTGGAACCAACTTCCAAGAGAAGTGGTGCTGGCTCCTACCCTGGGGGTCTTTAAGAAGTGGCTCGATGCCTACCTGGCTGGGGTCATTTGAGCCCAGTTTTCCTCCTGCCCAGGCAGGGGGTTGGACTTGAAGATCTACAAGGTCCCTTCTGACCCTACTTCTATGATTCTATGAGGAAGGGCATCTAACATCCCTTTCAGCAATATATTTGGATTAATAAAGAATTTTAACAAACAAAATTTGCTTACACCATTAACTACACAGACATAGAACCTTTCCATTTGACATGCCATGCATAAGGTGCATGCCATTGCATCTGTATAAATCAAAGAATAGAAGGCATTTGTAATATAGCCCCTTTTCTCTCACTCATATATTCATTCCCTTTTCCCTTCACTTCCTTTATTTGAAGAATTTTTGGTGTCAGGACTGCTTCTGAGTCCTTTACAATCAAGTGAGCATACTGGGTTGGAATAAAACTTCTAAAGTTCTAGAGATACTCCATTACTTTTGATTAAGAATTTGTAACATGGTAAAATAAACTAGGGGTTTGATCCTACTCCGCATTTATGCATTTAAGTGGATTTATATGCCTGAATATATTCCTGTTCTACACACTGCAAGTTCTAGAAAACCAAGCCACCTAGAAAACCAAGCCTAGATAACTTGCTATTATCTTAGTCTTCAAACCATGTCACAAAAAAGCAGGAAGAGACAGGACTGCACACCTTTTGTATTAACAGTTGTTCAGCAGCTTGAACAGGATGGAATAGGATCTCTACATTCACATTGGTACATATTAGATGAAATAGCATCTGGTCATAAATGTTTCAAAATCCACTGCTGAGTTCTGTTGATTAAATGTTTTGCAGTATTCATACAAATGGAAACAGGGACGGGTTATATAAAGAAAACCTTTTGTTGCGTGGATGTACTATTCGGAATACAGAAGAGGTTACTGGGATTGTGATTTATGCAGGTAAAAGTTGGCTTTTATGTTTTATCTCCCATATTCATATTTTGTAGGATTTTTAGATTTTAAAAAATATTCTATATTCTTTTGTTTAATATAATTTTTTTCTACAGGGCATGAGACCAAAGCTTTGTTAAATAACAATGGACCACGTTACAAACGCAGTAAGCTTGAAAGACAGATGAATATTGATGTCCTTTGGTGTGTTCTCATACTTATAGTTATGTGCCTTTTTTCTGCCATTGGTAAGTCATTGTTAAAAAATTAAAGCTAAGGAGCACATCCCTCCCTAAAATCCATGTGCTTTGCTTTGCAATATTAAAAATACACATTTTCTATCTCTTGAGTGATGAACAGTGAACTCTGGTTGGTTTGCCACTCCAAGGGGAATGAATTAATGATGAGTTATGCAGTAGTGACCAAATGATAATTGGAAGGTCACTGGCAGGGAATCTGAAAAAATACAAATTTTCCCATATGTAAATTAACAAGAATTCACTGTTTGTCCATCTCCCTTGCTACTTAAATTATTTTTTATAATAAACTGTAGATACCTAAGCCCATCTAAATATTAACCTCCTAATCATAGTAATCAAATGTATACAGTTCTCTAGTAATGATATAGATATATAGATATCATTATTAGAAAACTGTATGGCCAGGTGCCTCCACCATTAGTACAAGGGATAAGGAGTTTTAGTGATATGTTTTACTGGAAAAAACTGCATATTTGGGAGTGCGGTTGCACAAGCTTTCCAGCATAAAGTGTTCTTGCTCAACTCTATTTGTTGATGCCCGAAAGCTTGTCCAGCAATTCTCCTAGCTGTACAGTTGTCTAGTAAAAGATATCAGTAAGAATCCTTGCTTCTCATACATTTCATGGATCATTATGCTGATGACAACACTCTACCTTTGGTAGCATTCTTCTCCACATAACAGTCAGCTTGAAATCAAATTATAATTAAGGGCAACTGAATTTAGCATATCATTAGTCAGATGCCAAGGCAATGTGTTAACAAAGAGTAAACGTGGCTATCACATGAACCTTTTCCTGGCTTTATTAGACTAAAACAGGAACTTATTTTGGCTACTACTGTATATAAGTAGGCAGAGTTATAATATTAAAAGCTGATATCAAAGTCCATCTCAATGTAACAAGTCACATTAAAACTTAGAAAATGTTTAAGGGGCAGAGTTAAGGTAGTTTGGATTCAGGTTTGTGAATTGCATGATTTTGTGTCTGTAAGTAAGAACTGCATGTAAAGGTTGGATGGCAAAATGTTAATATGGCAAAAGAATATAACCTGAAAGTGTTTGGGGTATTACCTCTCCTTTCCCCCTGCCCACCCCCTCCCCCCCAAGTTTTAGGTTTTTCACTGCTTCCTTAAAACCTTTGAAATATCAGGGATACCAGCTCAAGTCCTTTCTTCATGAGCTGAAAAACTTGTGTGTCTCAAAAAATAGGTAATTGGAACTTTCACATCTTAGTTTTCAGAGTGCACTTCTTATATCTTTAATAAAAGTATATGTTCTACAAAATGTGAACATTTTAATACCTGTTTAAATTCCCTGATTTTAATTAGGTATTAAAAAGAAAATACAGTAGATAAAGAGTTTGTAAAAGTCTGAGTAAATCTCTTCAACTCTCATTTTCTCAGCTTCTATCTTCTAACTCAGGATATCATCATTTTACTAGCTCTCTAGTCATCCTGGTGCCTTTGAAATCAAACAAGATCCACATTTCAAATGCAGAAAATAAGTGTGGCCTTCAAGCCTTTTTTCATATTTCATATTTCCTTAAAAAATCAGGTAAAAGCACAAGCCATGTTTTCTCTGCTTATTACCTCTCAGGTAAAATCTATGCAATATAAATATATTTTTTTCTGGGAGTTCATTTGAGTTTTCATCTATTTCAATTCTTCCTCAGGTCATGGCCTTTGGGTCTGGCAGTTCAGTGAGAAGAAGAAACCAGTGTTTGATGTTCCGGGACCTGATGGCAACTATTTGTCCCCAGTTCTAGCTGCAGTCTATTTATTTTTGACAATGATAATAGTTTTTCAGGTAAAAAAGTTGTATCTAATGGTTCCTTATCTTTACAAGGGATGGAAGAATGGATAGATAGATGGAGAACTTGGGAAGCTGATGAAGTATTTAAACCACAATGCAGTTAGACATGTGAGAAATATATGATTACATATCCAGAAAAACAAAGAGGCATCATTAAAGAAAGGTTCTACTCAGCAGCTAACGATGACCAAAGTATAAATACCCCCCAAATTGTAAAGGCTCAAATCCTTAGCTACTGAAAGTTGCATGGCTCTGTTGACTGTAACAGAGCTACAAAAATTACACTAGTTGAGTTTTTGCTGTAAAGGCTCTAGGAACAGTTTTCTTTTTAATCAGACAGGAAGGGTTAAGATGAAGTATATGCTGCTAAGGATACTCAACAGTCACACTCATGGAATGCCAGGCAGCAGAAGCTCAGTAACCCACTTATGGTGAAGAAACACATAAATGTAAATTATTGGTGATTTCAGAATGCAAGTAACAGAAGAGATATCCCATTTATCTCTTTAAAAACTTCTGAGATTTGATTCAGAATTTAATGTTGAACAGACTGTAGGTGCCTCTGTGCTAAATGACTGGATGATATAGAACATCCCTGCAACATGTCAATATATAAGAAATCTAGGTGCCTTACCCTGTTGATATGCTTCACCCTCTTGTAGTAAGACACCTGAATCTTAGGCACTGCATCACCTAAGTAGAGAAAACTTATAGGCCAATTAGTATCTTGTCTTAAATGATTCTGAAATAACTTATGATTCTGAAATGTACTGGGATTTGCCTATTGCTTATTTAAATATACACTCCTTTAATATAGTTTAAAGGAGTGTATTCTCTTTTAATAAAAATAATTATTCATGACAGAATTATTTAAAGATACCCTCCTTTTAATACAGTTTCATTTAAACTACCACACTTGCTACTTACATATGCTCAAATTTATCCCCCAAATTTAATTCATCACGCTAAATACAGAATGTAACCCAGAATTTCTGTACTGACAAACATCTGCAAGGCAGCATTAAACTATAAATTATGTTGTTCGTGGCTTTTTTGAAAATCACCAAGAAATTGCTGAAAATCTATTTTGGAAAAACCTCTAACCACAACACTTTCTTCAGCAATTACAAAACCTGTTCTTCATTCAGTTAAACTGCTACACAAAAGCGAGCCTGAAAAGATTACTTTTCTACAGAACCTAACACTGTTCATTTTAACATTCTTATTCCTGGAAAGCTAATTTAGTACCAGCCTGTTATTACACAGAATAAATTTTGGGGCTATTTATCCCTTTTGATATAAGGTATTCTTTTGCATTTGCAGAATTCTGACTATACTCTGTGTTTTTTCCCTCTTTCTCTTTTCCTTTCCTAGCTACTTTCAAGCTCAACTTACTAGCCTGAAAATGTTTGCTTCTATCCAAGCCTTGGTAATCACACTTCCAGACATAATTATGGATTTTGGCTCTATAATAAGCTTTTCTAATCTGTCACAGTAAACTCTTTTCAAACATTCTAATAATTGTACAATATTGACTCTAAGCCTATTTAAACTCTTAAAGGTACAGTATAGTCCAGCAACTCTTTGTGACTCTAGTCTACTATAAAATTGATTAGATTATAACCAGTTCAAGGTATCAGTGCTCTTCTAATTAGTCTATGTTTGTGTGTTTTAGGTTCTGATTCCAATTTCTTTGTATGTATCCATTGAAATAGTTAAAATATGCCAGGTATACTTCATCCATCAAGACAAGGATTTGTATGATGAAGAAACAGATTCTCAGCTACAGTGCCGAGCTTTAAACATCACAGAAGACTTAGGTCAGATACAGTATATATTCTCAGACAAGACTGGTACTCTTACCGAAAATAAGATGGTTTTCCGGAGATGCACAGTTTCTGGCATAGAATATTCTCATGATGCTAATGGTGAGCCCATTTATTGTCTAATGGTTATATTTCATTCTAGCATATACACTGAAGTAACTGTAACATAAAAGCAACATGGAAACTCTATTCTTAGCTTACATTACAGTGATGGTTTTGAAGGACTAAAAAGTAATTTTTTGCTTCGAGAACATGACCCTGTGACTGTCTAAGTGTGCCTGTAGATGTGCGGGGACAGTGCTCTGATGCACTGCAATTACAGCACATTGGAGCAGACTTGATTAATCGAGTCTGCTAGAGCATGGTAATTGCAGCCTCTGTGGTTCGTGTATCAGTGCCCCTGAGCTTCAAAATGGAGGTGGGGGCACTTGAACTAAAGCTAATTTGATGAGCTTTAAAGTACCCCGCTGCCATTTTTGAAGCGCGGGGATGCTGATACATGAGATGCTGCAGGCACTTTAATTAGAGCAGCTCTCGGAGCTTCTCTAACTAAAGCAAACCCTTCTCTCCCCCCGGGAGCATGTGTAAAGACTCTCTATGGTGCCACCCTGATCTGTCTTCTGCCTTACTTCAGACTAAACGTGACTAAGCACCTTTATTAAAATGATTGACCACTTATGTTGTGAAATTTTTATTTTCCCCCTAACATTTTGTGTGCGTCCTTTTTGAATTTAAACATTTTAAGTTCTGAATTCCTATTCTGACTTCCTGTTCTGAATTGCCTACATGAAAATATTGATAGATATTATATTGGCTTTCTAAATGTAGCAGTTAAGTTTATTTTCATGTTAATATTGCTGACCGTGTAGTTAATATTGCTGACTATATAGCTTTCTTGACAATCATTTTCAGAGTTGAGCCAACATACCAGAAAAGGACTAAATGAAATTCATTAAAGGTGAATCATAATGTTTAAAAATGAATTTAAAATTGCATAAGCTCCAAAGCTAGTAACAAAGTACAGCTGAGCTTTAAATTACAGAATGAATATTATTAGCACTGTTTTAAAATAGACCTAATATTTTAACACATACAGCATTTTTCCCCCCAAAATTTGGTATATGGTATTGTATTATCCAAATGGTACAACTGAGGAAATTAACACATAGAAGTTGCAGTTTCCCAAGGGCATGCACTAAAACAGAGACAGAAATAAAATTTAACTCTAAAACATGTCTCCAGGCTCTCGTTCCATACACTGAACAATAGAGCACACTGCCTTTCTTCATTCTTTTTTGTTTGCTTGCTAGCTACTGATTTCAGGGGGTACTATGGTCCTTGCAAGAATCAATGGCGTTATAGCTAAAATAGTACAGGAAAGGCAGCATTTTATGAGTTTGATTTCATCAGCTGCTGTAGAGCAAAAGCAGAATTCTGAACTTAGGTCTTGCTTCAAATATTTGGTCTTAAAATTTGTTTCTCATTTTTAAGTTTGTACCTACTTTCCAAAAGTGAATTTGGACTCAACAAAAGTGAGGATAATGATAATAAAAAACAGTGACACTCTGTAAACGTAATAGTACCATCAGATACACAACGTAAAATAAATTAACCAAGAATTATTTTTTCCTATTAGCTTTTGTCACTTATGACTATTCTTGATTTTATTTGTAGTCCAAGTTGGCACAAAATTTCCAGAACCATTCTTTCTGGAAAGTCACGCCAATCATATCTTGTCTTTCTACTTATTGATTAATTTCTTGTTTAAATATGGTAAGAACTCTTTTGCATCCTTTTTCCTGTCATGGAACACATCTGTAAAACTTGCTAACCCTATGCTTAATTCCAAAGGATTTATCATCAACTTTCCCTTAGTATAGACTAGAAGCCAGCAGTTCTTCATGGGCTTTGCTTGGAGTATATTTAACTGATTCTGTCCAGAATGCCTAATCATTTCTGGCCATGGGTTAAAATTATGTATAGAGAACTCTTAAATCTTACACCTTTTAAATGATTCTGAGTGGTTGTATATGCAAGTTAAAAGCTGATCAAGGATGCACAAACCCAAGTAAAACTTAGGGATAGTTACATCTCTTGTATTTTAAAGGTCTGTGTCTTTTCCCATCATCCCTAGTAATTCCCTCAGTCATAATAGTTTGACACTTAGAACCAATTTGTGACTAACCTCCAAGATGAATGTAGACATCATTGCAAGATCTCATTTAAAATTGTTGCTAGATTATTTAGATGCTGAAGTCTTCAATTCATTTTCTACATTTGGGAGAGCAGACATACCTGAGTTAGAAATTCTATTCTGAGTTTGTTACAGTCAGAGTTGGCATCACTTCCAACAACTTAAATTATCTGGCACTTCCCAGTAGAAGCCTCTGATTTTCCTTGTGTATACTTCGCAAAACTTTAGCCATTTTGCATGTTGGGTGTCTGTCTCAGGCTGAATTGTGTTTTGTTTGGGAAATCACAGTCAGGACTCTTCAGTGCAGCCATTTTTGAGAGGCTGAATGGCAGAAATATTGTTTTGCCACTGGTTCATTTTGGTGATCCTTTAACATTCTTTAGTTCTCCCATGCTGTGGACAGGGGGCATGACATTTGCCAGGAGAGTGTTCATTCTGTTAGAGGTGTGTCCTTGCAAATGCTACATTTATCATGTGATTAATGCTCTTCAGCTCCCCAGCATGCCCAGTGCACATTTAAAGGTCCAGGCACACTGGGAACCCAGGATCTGCGAGCAGTTCCCTGATACTGGGCTCCCCACACGCCAGCAAGTGTAAAGGAATGCAGGCGGCCTTGTACTGGAGGCCAGCTCTGTGACGCTGGCCTGCCCAGCTTACCTTTATAAAGTCGGGGCACATGGGGAGTCAAGCCTCAGAGAGCAGTTCCCTGATCCCAGGCTCCCAAGACACCTACAGACCCACAATGAGATCTGAGCAATTTTATCCCAGATCTCAAAAACTGCATGTCCTGCCAGGCCAGATCTTGAACATCTGGCACAGCAGTATGCACAGTTTGGGGGGGGGGATATAGGATAAAATTCCATTATACATTTAAATTAACATCTGCCACAGACTATTTACTTTCTCCATGACAATACACTCAAACAAAACTGCATTCTAAACCTCCAAAAAATCTGTTCGGACATGTTCAGTACAGATTTCTTCAACTCTAGCACTTAAATGTCAGAACATTCTCTCCTTAGTCAGCATGCACGTGGCTCCAAAAACTGGCCAGCTCCAAATATGCAGGATCCCCACACAGCAACTGGACATACTTGGTCCCCTTGTAGCTGAATAGAAGGGGAAAGGAGAGAAATCTGAGACTGATTTGGCAAAAAAACCTGTGATGGAGAGCCAGGAGAGAAAACTCAGACTGGCTGGGTGAAAGGCTAGCACTGGGTCTTGTTGCACAAGGAGACTGCCACTAGGATCAGTGGTCAGAAGGCTGAGGCTGAAATCCTGCCAGAGTAATAGGTAGAGTGCAGTAGCATGGGAACCCATTGGTTGAGGGAGAAGAACACTGGGATTGGTTGAGGCCCTCTTCTCTAAAGCTATTGTGGTGCAGTCTTCAGTCACTTGAACCCTGACTTATTTCCATGGGGCTTCTGCCTCATTCAGGGCACAAGGTAAACCTGCTCTGGAAATGAATAAAGGTTGTGCACTGAAGCAGACTGTTGTTTGTGGGATCTCAGCTTCACCAGCTACTATAAGAGGACAGGATAGGTGTACAGTGAATGAGATGAATATTTGGAGGCAAAGAATGAATGGTCTCATAGCTAAGGCAGTTCTGCCCTGGAGAACTGGATTTTATTTCTGCCTCTGCAACAGAGTTTTTATTTGATGTTAAGCAGGTTGCTTAAGCCATCAGAAGTATTCATTAAGTGGGCAGTCCTAATTTTTTTATGGCTGCCCAACTTGAAACCTGGGGATCTGATTTCATAAGGGATAAGCATGCATATTTGCAACTGAAGTCAATAGGTGGTGGGATTTGAATATAGAAAGTGTTAAGCAAGGCTGTATACTGTGAAAAAAATCAGGTGCGAGGTATCTCTACCTAGGCTCATAAGATTACTGGATGCTTGTGACCTTAATCTCTATGGCTAAATTATCCATCGGTTAATTGGAATAATACCTGCTCCCATTATCTCAGTTCTGGAAAGGTACGTTAATTAGTGTTTGTGAAGGATACAGATACATTTGCAGGTGTATCATAGAAAAGTCTGTAAGGAAATGAATAAATCAGTCTTCAGAGCAGTAATTGAATTAGCAATAAATAAGAACTAGGGCCACATATTGAACAATGAGGAAAAATAAGATACTGCTTAGCTGTTGATTAAATGAGTACCACCCATCCCCTGTGCTAAATGAGGCATGGTCCTATGAAGAGATAGTATGAGCATATAATTGAAGCTATATCACAATGCATGTGTGCAAAGGGACTGAATTAAGCTTGCAAACTCTAGTTCTGAGATTTCCAAATTTAGGAGTGCTTAACATGTCAACCACAATGTTCTTTAGAAATAGTTTATCATTTTTGTGGGTAATAAAATAATATAACATGGCTAACTAACTGTCTAGCAGGCTGACTACAGCCTCCCAAGCTTTGTTCTGGGACCTATGGTATATTACAAATGTTGTTGCAGACTCCGAATTCATCCAAAGGTTTGTTTCCTTTTTCCTGTTTTATGCGGGTTCTTATACTGCACTCATCAGGACCTCACTGCCTTCCAGAATTGCATTAAGAAACATGACTGATATCTATGATATGGAATTCATTTTCTATCTCCTCCTTCTCTCTCTTGAGAGAGAATTTTGTGTACAGCATAGTATTTTGTTTTGATAGGATTTTATTTGATTAAATTATGCTTGCTCCTATGTCTGGGAAGGCAAGGTTTAGAATATGTGACCTCTGCTTGAGTTGATGTTGTTGAGGTGCCTTATGGGATAGATTCAGATAAGCCTTTTAAGAAAGTTCTTCTCTTGCAGAGATGAGCTTTACCTTTATACCAGAGTTAAGTTTTATCTGAGGAATGGAGTTGTCAAGGCCAATCTTCACCCTAGGCACCCAGGTTAGTTTCTTATGTGTATC